TGCTCAGTAATCAGACCTGATGCACTAAAATATCCGTCGAGCATCTGGATTTGACGAATATCGAGAGCTGATGAATATCTGCGACAAGGAAGCTTCTGACGAAAGAGCTGAAGCGCGTCGAAAGCGTGATGCACAGAAATCAAATCTGATGCACTAAAATACCGTCGAGCATCTGGATTTGACGAATATCGGGAGCTGATGAATATCTGCGTCAGAAGTGACGAATATAAGGAGCTGATGCATATCTGCATCAGATTTGACGAATATAGGGAGCTGATGCATATATGGAGGAGATCCATATAAACCGATATCTAACGGAGTCCAGCTGAAGTCGAGCCGAAGGCTTAGTGACGAACATCCCAAGAAGGAGAGCGAGAAAGGTCATAGTGACGACTGAAGCCATGGACTAGGACAAAGCGAATTAGCAAGTAATCGGCTGAGAGATACTCGTCCAGGAGGACTAAGCTAGCGGAATTGTGGAATAGGAAAAGAATGAGGTAAGCGAGAGGAGTGACTCAGGTGAGTCGGCATACTGCGAAGCGTCTGGGACAGCAATGGGAGGTGAGGGTTCCGAGAAACCACGGTTGAGGGAGGTAAAGCGGGTAACCGCTTACAGAACAGAAAGGACCCACATTCAAGGCCCTAAGGGAGGGGATGAGAGGCGAAGGGAAGGAGGGGGAGCCTAGAGTCGAGTCGCCATGGACACTGGAATCCCCTCCCCGCTCCGGTGCAACCCCAAGGTGGCGCAGGCCGCAGGCAGAGTCAATGCGAAATGGTTGCGCTGACGAGGCGGGGCGGGAAGCCTCGGAGAGCAGGCGGACGATGTCCGCTGAATGGTGGGGAGGGGAGCTGCGAACATTATTGACGACTGGAATATGATTTTCGCCAAACATGACAGGCCAAGAATCACAGTTCAGCGAAAGGGCTAAGTGCTCTCCCGTTCTCGCTGGTTCTGACATCAACAACATCGGATGACTGTATGGGGATGGGGGCATGGCATCGTTCGCGCCGAGGAGGTGAGGCCGGTTCCGCTGACAGGCTGGCGGCGGGAGAGAAAGTCCCCTGTGAAAGCTAGGGGAAGTTTTGAGCTGGCGCGCGTGTTGTCGGACAGTTCGCGGGAGTTCATGTGCGAAACATAAAGATTTTGGCGAACCGAGTTACAGCGCATCACGGTTGTGTGAAGTGATGATATGATGGCTCCACGCAGCTAGGAGGGGCAATTTGATTACATGGATGGAAGAGGTGCTATGTAGATAGCATGACTGCCGTCAGCACGGCTGTTTGATTGGGTGTCAGGCAACGATTTGAATTTGGGAATTTTGGCGGGATGCCTAAATACATCCGCGTTTCGATTGTCATGTAGATAACTGATAGCCTTCCCCACATTAACATCCACATAAACTAGTTGTTCGAACTTCTGATGGACTTTGAAGATCCATTTTTTAGTGAACTTATAGCAAAGCTTTTTCATATCAAGTGCATACAAACAACGCATCACATACAGATGTGTGGCAGGAATGGCAAGGGTTAAAAAATACTGAAAGTGTCAGAAGCTGGATCATTTATGCAATATTTAATAAATGTTCTGAAGCTTCTACGACTAAGTGTATATCAAAGGAAGCCTAGGTTTAGGAGAAACCTAGGCTATGTCAGAATGTTATATTTCTCTAGTCTGCAGTGGGGTACTCTATAGTGAGTACAACCCAAATTAGGGTTTGCTATATGTATCCCATTGTTTGCTAGTGAACATCCTCTTTCCTGTTTCTTCTTCCTAGCTACTATTTTTGACATGCTATCAGAGCGAGAACGCTCCTGGCCTGTGGGCCCACCTGCTTCCGCTGCTGTCCTACCTGTCGCGCGCCTCGAACGCGTGACGACTTCTACCTGCCTGCCGCGCGCCCCGCGCGCGTGGCAGCGCGTGGCGGTTTTCTGGCCGCCACGCGCTCGGGGCGCGTGGCGGTTTCCTGCCCCGTCGCGGCGCCCCAGGGGACCCGCGCGTCGCCCCCCCCCCCCCCCCCCGTCGCCCGTCGTGGCGCGCTCAGGGACCTGCGCGTCCCCCCCGTCGTTCATCGCGACGCCCCCGGGGACCCGCGCGTCGCCCCCCGTCGCCCGTCGCGACTCCCCCGGGGACCCGCGCCCCCCCGTCATTCGTCGCGACGCCCCCGGGGACCCGCGCGCCGCCCCCCGTCGCCCGTCGTGGCGCCCCCAGGGACCCGCGCGCCCCCCCTGCCCGTCGCCCGTAGCAGCGCCGCCTGCGTTTAGGGTTTGGGGGTGGCGGGTATGGGGGTGGCGGGTGTGTGAGCCGTCCCCTACTCCTCCTCCTCCTCCGTCTCCCACTGCTGCAGCTGCCGCTGAGGGGGGTGGGTGTGTGGGAGCCGAGGGAGTGGCGCTAGGGGGGTGTCGTGGGAGTGGAGCTAGGGGTACAGCACGGGGTGTGTGAAAGGGGTGTTGGACAGTTGGGGGAGATTGAGCGGAGGTAGCTGTTGTGACGTCTTCAGCGCCAGTAGTCCGGGGCGTTTTTTCTCCGGTAGCCCAGCGAGCCTGCTGCGCCAGTCGCCTGTGGGTCAGTTGCTCCTGCCGCTCGTCTTAGCCGTGGAGCCAGTTACTCTTGTAGTCCGGGGCGTTTTTCTCCGGTAGCCACCGTGCGCGCCGCTCCTGTTGCCCGTGTGTCTGCGGCTTCACCCGTCGCCTCCTATCTCCACTCCTCTCACAGTCCCTCCTCCTCCTCACTTGCCCTCTGTTACTGCCTCTAGCTTTTCTTGTGCTTGTTAACTTCTTATGCGACTGTTGGCTGTGCTGATCATACCCCACTTTGCCTATGGGGGTGTGTCAGAATGTTATATTTCTCTAGTCTGCAGTGGGGTACTCTATAGTGAGTACAACCCAAATTAGGGTTTCCTATATGCATCCCATTGTTTGCTAGTGAACATCCTCTTTCCTGTTTCTTCTTCCTAGCTACTGTTTCTGACAGGCTAGGGTCGAGAGTAGCGAGGGTATCGAGAGGGAAGAGGAGGTTTCACTATTGAAGGGGGGTACAAATAGGAAGAGGAGCAACAAGAAAGGTACACCACCAATATATAATCTAAATGATACTACACTACAGCTAGAACTACAAGCTGTTATAACAACATAATTCTGACAGTGTGCCATTCCCTTTTCCACCTGGATTTTGATTTAACTGACACTAAACCCGACCCGAACACCAGCGTATGGAAGTCCACACTCTAAGAGCACATTCTCAAGAGCACACTGTAGCTAACGGTATTTTTAGACTAGCACAACTACATCTGCATTACTACGCCATCTTAAGCAAACAAGCGGCAAGCGGGATGGCAATTAGGCTGTCAAGGGTGGAGGCAACTCGTTGATAAGATCTGCCCAGTCAAGCATGCCCTAGGGGAAGATACAAGGGCGAGTGAGGGAGAGTGAGAGTGATAGTGAGGGGAGAGTTCGAGTGAGAGGGAGTACGAGAGTGAGAAAGTGGAGACGACACAAGCGATGGCAGGGAGAAGCAGTAGCGACAGAAAAAACCTTCAGAGGATTAATCGCTCATGATCATGGCTCAGTTGGGGAGAGGTGAGATTGGAACAAGCAATGAAGCAGCCACAGGTGCGGGCGGCGACTCACCGTGTCTGACTTCATGACTCGGCCGTCCAGTCGCAGCACGATGAAGGCATCGCTGCCCTCCGCCACCTTCTCCCCCTTTTGCTGCGACCGTACCCATCTGATACACAAGTGCCATGCCATGTTGGGCCATACCATACCATGGCATGGCATGCCATGCCATGCCATGCCATTCAACCGATGCACCACACCCTTCGGTCAACGATTTTTTTAACCATGGAAAATGCCGGCTAAACAGGGTGTGTGTGTGTGTGTGTGTGTGTGTGTGTGTTTGTGTGTGTGTGTATGTGTGTGTGTGTGTTTGTGTGAATGTCTGTATGTGTGTGTGTGCGTGCATGTGTGTGTGTGTGTGCGTGTGTGTGCGGTACCCCTCCGCGCGCTTCATCGCCTGCTGCACCGCCTCCTTTCGCCCCGATAGTATCACCTGCACGCACACAGCACGATTAAGAATTCTCAAAAGCGACTCCACTCCGCGTGCTTCATCGCATGCTGAAACGCCTCCCTGCACCCCGATAGAATCACCTGCATGCACAGCGCACAGCGGGACAGGGCAGAGCAGGGCGGCTTCTGAGTTGACTCAAGAGTCATCGCCTACTACACCGCCTCCCTGTGCCCCAACACAATCACCTGCACCCACACAGCCCGGCAGGACAGGGCAGAGTAGGGTAGAACCGCAGCTCCACTCCCAAAGCTGGGACAGTAGCTCAAGTCCCGAGGCTGGGACTGCAGCTCCATTCCCAAGGCTGGGACTGCAGCTCCAGTCCCGAGGCTGGGACTGCAACTCCAGTCCCGAGGCTGGGACTGCAGCTCCGGTCCCGAGGCTGGGATTGCAGCTCCGGTCCCGAGGCTGGGACTGTAGCTCCGGTCCCGAGGCTGGGACTGCAGCTCCGGTCTCGAAGCTGGGACTGCAGCTCCGGTCCCGAAGCTGGGACTGCAGCTCCAGTCCCGAAGCTGGGACTGCAACACCTGTCCCAAAGCTGGGACTGCAGCTCCAGTCCCGAGGTTGGGACTGCAGCTCCAGTCATGAAGGTAGGACTGCAGCTCCAGTCCCCAAGCTGGGACTGCAGCTCTTGTCTCGAAGCTGGGACTGCAGCTCCAGTCCCGAAGCTGGGACTGCAGCTCCAATCCCCGCTCAAGCACCCGCTTTCCATCGCTCGCACTCACCGGGCGCGTTGTTCCTCTGAGCTACACCAGCTCCACCACCGTGCCCGACCGTAGCCGGAGAGGCAGGTAAAGAAACCTGCTCCCACTCAAGCACCTCATTCAAGCAACCGGTTCCCTTCCTTCTTTCACTCACTGGGCGCGTTGTTCCCCTCAGCTGCACCAACTCCACTACCTTGCACGACTGCAGCCGGAGAGGCAGGCGAGAGAGAGTCTCATCGCGGGACACGCACCCCATCTGCTCCTCCTCTCGCCGCTGCTCCCACAGATACAGCCCCACCATCGCCACCCCGCCTGATGCGGAAGCAATGGGAGCAAGGGGGGAGGTGGGAGAAGGGAGGAAAAGGGGGAAATGAGAGGCGCACCATGTGCTCCTCCTCTCGCCGCTGCTCCCACAGGTACAGACCCACCATTGCCGTCCCACCTGTAGGTGGGGATGAGAGGAAAATGGGAGACGACAGAAGGCAGAAAAGGGGAGAGAAACGAGCACATATAAGCCAGCAGAGACTCAGCTCCATGAAAACGAGCAGCTCACCCCCAACCACTTTCCCTGCCCTCTTCCCTTCCATCTGCCCCTTCCATCACCGCAGTTCCACGCACCCTGCTCAGCTCACCCGGACTTCACCTCTCAGCACCACTCTTCACCGTCGTACGGCACCCTCACCTCCCAGGTCAATGGCTAGTTTGCCACCAGTGGTGAGCAGATCTGGGGCGTCCAGCCCTCCTTGGACGGCCAGGATGAACCGAGGGATGGTGATGACGGTGGCGATGTCAGCAGCCATGCCCAGCGCCACATACAGGAACCTCCTCACGCCTCTGAATGGCGCCTGCACTTCTGCTATCAGCTTTCAGTCCCGCCGAAACTTGCCGCCCACTTCCTCGCCGCCCTTTCTTGCCTGGTATGGGAGTGGAGGGAGGAAGAAAGAAAGGGTGGTCAATGTGCTGCTCATCAACTCTTCTCCAGTCCTCTGATGCTCTCTCCTCTGCCACACTACCATCTCCTTGTGCTCTTTCACTCCACTTCTCTCTTCGCTTCTTCCCCTTCTCCTTTACCCCCCCTCCATGGTTCATGCAGGCATCACCACCACACCAAAATCTGGCAATTCTCCTTGCCTTACACTCTCTCTCTCCCATTTCTCTGCGCGCCTTACAGTGTCGCCCTATCCACCCTCTTCTCACCCCCCTCCATCTAACCCCTCCTCAAGCGGTCTAGAGTCAAGCACAGCACAGTCACATCCCGCCACTCGCAACGTTCCATGCACACACTTCCCCTCTCCCCCAAACCGCCTCGACTCTTCCATTCCCCCCACCTCTTATCATGGACCCCCTCCTCCTCCTCCTCCTCCTCCTCCTCCTCCTCCTCCTCCTCCTCCTCCTCCCTCCTCCTCCTCCTCCTCCTCCTCCTCCTCCTCTTCCTCCTCCTCCTCCTCCTTCTCCTCTTCCTCCTCCTTCGGCTCTCTTACATTCCCGTTCTTGCCTCTGCCGCGCCTCCTCCCTTTCAAGCGCTTCTCGCCCCCCGGCCTCCAGCCTCTTTCGCTTTTGCTCGTCCTTCTCCCTCGCCTCCTTTCCTCGCGTTTTGCGCTCCTTGGCCTCCAGTCTCTTCCACTCCTGTTCCTCCTTTTCGCTCTCCACCTTCCTCGTCTCCTCTCTCTTTCGCCCTTCCTCCTCCCTCTGCCGCTTCTCCTCCTTTTCACGCTCCACCTTCCTCGCCTCCTCCCTCTTCCGCTCTTCCTCCTCCCTCTGCCGCTTCTCCTCTTTTTCGCGATCCATCTTCCTCGCCTCCTCCCTCTTCCGCTCTTCCTCCTCCCTCTGCCACTTCTCCTCTTTTTCGCGCTCCACCTTCCTCTCCTCCCTCTTGCATTCTTCCTCCTCCCTCTGCCACTTCTCCTCCGTTTCGCGCTACAGCGACCTTTGCTCCTCTAGCATCTTACTCTCTTCCTTTCTCTCCCGCGCATCCTCTTTTTCGCGCTCAACTTGCCTCTCGTTTTCGAGCCTCTCCTGCTCCCGTTCATCTCTCTCTCTCTATCCCCCTTCGTTGCGCGCAACTCTCGACCCTCGTACTCAAACCCGATATGCTCCTGTTCCTCCCTCATACTCTCGTCCACCTCCTCGCGTGCTTCCCGCCCCTGATCATACTTCTTTGTTCGTGCCGCACGCCTCTGATACACTAACCTATTTTCGCATTCCGCCCTATGCCCCTGATCTTGTTCATCATTCTCCACGGGGAGATGCAGTGCCTGTAAAGCCATTGCAAGCTCATCCGTGCTCTCCCCCTCCCCCCTGTGCTGTATGGCCTCCGATCCACTAAGCTGAATTTTGGCATCTGCTGCCCTCTGCTGCGCCTCCCTCATTCCACGCAAGATCTCTCGCGCACTTTCTCTCCGAACGTGTGGTTCGTCTGTATTCATCAGCCGACGCTCCCCATCCGTTACGCTCTGACGCTCGTTGGCCAGACGGATTCGAACGCCGTCAGAAACCATCGCCCCTACAGCGACTAGTTCCGCATCAATATCTGGCGGGGGCCCTGTGTCCTCTGCGACAGGCCCATGCTGGTCCAAGTTGTCCTCCTCTTCCCCTTCGCCCGCAGTTTCACCACGCACAACATTGTCGAAATACTTACCACAGTCGGTGAGTATCTCATTCAGAATATTTTCTCGACGGTATTGTGGGGTTCCCATAACGAGGAATTTTTCGTCTCTTGTCCGCTGCTGCAGAATGTCGTCGAAATGATCGAGCATCTTGCACCACTGGTATGCCACGTGAAGTCCCGAACCAACCTCCCTCTGGCCGACTGACTGAGTTAGCTTCTGCATGATACAGATGTGGAAACTCATAAGAAACTGTGCGTTTTCGATAACAATGTAGGACAATTTCGCAATGTATTCGATAACTTACCACCGTTTTGTCGAGCTTTCACCCGCTCATGATGCGTTCTCAAATGTCATGAAATACTTCCTGGGTCTCGCCGAGCAAGTTCGCTTCCCCTCTTGAATATTCCATCAAGATCTGCATCTCGAGCCACCTGCTCAACATAAGTGGTTTCGACGACTTCAGTGAGCGTCGTTCAGTCGGCAACACGCACAGATGTTGCTTCAACAACGGATACTCACCTGACAATATTTTGGCGAGATCGGCGTGCTTATGTGTCGGAGAAGTTGCTTTGGGGTCGAAACGCAGAAGACAGGTCTGAACCGGCCACTTCGGGTGGGCCGCCAGACTGTCGGGGCGAACGAGAAGAAAGAGGCTACAGCGAGTCCGAGGTTCGGCATTGATACTGCGAGGGGTGTTGGAGCGAAATGATTGACACCTTTAGAAAAAGCAATCTCTAAGAAACATAGCAGTAAATGAAGAAAATTGAGTTCGAAATTTAGTTTGGAGATTTGTGTCAAACTTATGCACTATAGTCTGTGTAGGCTGTAGTGGGGTAGCTTATATGGGGTACAACATTCTAGGGTTTGGTACTTGTACTCCTCATGCTGCTCAATGCAATCATTATCGTTCTAACTTTTCACATGGTATAGAGCAGGTTCCCTCATGGGAACTGTTCCTAGGGCCCACTGCAACTTTTTTTTTTCCTGCCCGGAGCGCGCTCGGCCCCTGTTCGAGTCGCCCCCCCCCCCCCCCCCCCCCCCCCCTCCTCCCCTTCGCTTCTCTTAGCGGCCCCGTCGCGCCGCCCTTTAGGCCCCGGCGCCGCCTCTGCTGGCCCCGCGGCCCTACCCTCGCGACCCCGCGGCCCCACCCTCGCGTCGCCCTGCGCGGCGTCGTTACAGCCGCCCGCGACCCCAACGCCGCCCGTCGCGGCCCCGTCGCCCTTCGCGCCGCCCGCGACCTCGTCGCCGCGGCCGCCCGCGACCCTACCGCTGCGGCCGCGCCTGACCCTGGCGTCGCAGCTGCCTGCGACCCTGTCGCCACAGCCGCCCGCGACCCTGCTGTCGCAGCCGCCCGCTGCGGCCGCCCGTGACCCTGCCGCTACGGCCGCCTACGACCCTGTCGCCACAGCCGCCCGCGACCCTACCGTCGCTACCGCCCACGGCCCTGCTGTCGCAGCCGCCCGTGACCTCGTCGCTGCAGCCGCCTGCGCTCCTGTCGTCGCAGCCGCCCGCGACCCCGTCGCCCCACCCGTGCGACCACGCCGCCGCCTGTCCGCGGCTCTGCCGCCCCTCGCTGAACCGCCGAGCCGCCAGATCGCCGAGCCGCCGAGCCGCCGTTGCCGCCGAGCCGCCGAGCCGCCGAGCCGCCGAGCCGCCGAGCCGCCGAGCCGCCGAGCCGCCGAGTCGCCGTTGTCGCCGAGCCGCCGAGCCGCAGTTGCCGCCGAGCCGCCGTTCCCGGCAAGTCTTGGTCTCTCTCGCCTGCCCGGTAAGAGCAGCGCCTCTGTCACTGCACTGCCCTTAGCCTACTGCTCACACTGCTGTCATGGCCACCCCCAGTGTTCTCACCTTTGACGCTGAGGGCCGAGCTGTTGACTTTGAGGTCTGGATAGATGATCTGCAGCTCTTCCTACAGTGCGATAGGGCAGACGGTCTCTCCCTCTTTGACCTCACTTCTGGTGCCTCTCCTGCCCCTGCTGCTGATGCTGACCCGACTGTTCGCTCCCAGTGGGCCTAGCGCAATGCTGCTGCCCGCCTTGCTGTGCGCCGCCACTTGCCGACCGCTGAGCGTGCGCACTTTAGCCAGTACAAGAGTGCTAAGACCTTGTACGACGCTGTAGTTGCACGCTACTCTTCCCCTGCCACTGCTGCACTTAGCCGCCTCATCATGCCGTACCTTTTCCCTGACCTCGCCGCTTTTCCCACTGTCGCTGACCTCATTACGCACCTTCGCACTAGTGACACTCGCTACCGCGCTGCGCTTCCTGCTGAGTTCTGCGCCAAGAACCCCCCCCCCATGTACATCACCCTCTACTACATAGTCACCCGGCTCCCTGACACCCTTCGCCCGGTTAGGGACCACTTCCTCTCTGTTTGCCCCACCACCCTCACCGTTGACCTCCTCGAGGAGCGCCTTCTAGCGGCAGAGAAGAGCATAGTCGCTGTAGGAGCCTCTCGAGGTGACCCTCGTGCCCCTGTCTTTGAGGGGTGCTCCCCCTCTCCCCTCTTGCCCTCTGTTGCCTCTGCTGCTGCGGCCGACCTCGTTGGTCTTGAGTCGGTCGCTGCGGCGTCTGCCCCTAGCGGGAGACGCCGCTCTGGCAAGGGCAAGGGGGGCAAGGGTGCTGGAGGAGCTGGCGGGGGCGGTGGAGGCGGAGGTGGAGGTGGTGGAGGGGGTGGGGGTGGCGGTGGGGGTGGTGGCGGGGGTGGGGGCGTCGGTGGCGGGACTGGAGGTGGAGGTGGAGGCGGCGGTGGCGGTGGGAGCGGAGGTGGCGGAGGTGGCGGAGGTGGCGGTCCTGATCTTTGCTCTTGATTATGATGCTATCCTTGCTGCCATGTATGCTGTGACTATTAGTGATGAGGGTGACTGTTACCGGTGTTTTCCGCCTGACCCAGGCATAGAGGCTGCTGCGCTAGGTGCTTGTGAGGCTGCTGCTCCAGGTGCCGGTGAGTCTGCGCTTTCAGGTACTGCGTCGTCACCGGCCACCCACACCTTCACCCTTGACTCGGGTGCTTCCCGCTCCTTCTTTCGAGACTGCACCACTCTCACGCCGCTCAGTCGGCCCGTTGCAGTCTCCCTGGCAGACCCCTCTGGGGGTCCTGTCCTTGCCCACTACTCCACTGTCCTACCGTGTCCAGCGGTCCCGTCTGGCTCCCTGTCGGGTCTTTACCTCCCCTCGTTCTCTACGAACTTGGTGGCGGGTGCTGACCTCCAGGATGCAGGAGTTGACCAGTTCACCCCTGCTCGTCAGCGGGTGACCCACTGCACGTGTGCGGACACGGGCCGACACTTGGCCACGTTTACCCGTCGGCCAGGGTCGAGCCTGTACACACTGACTACTGAGTCTCCTCCAGTCACTGAGTCTGCTCAGGTAGCAGCGTCGGGTCAGGTGTTTGCTGCGGCGTCCAGGTCTGGTCCTGAGTCTGCCCCCTGCTCGTGTCGTCTCCTGTCCCACCGGACTCTCCTCTGGCACCACCGCCTTGGTCACCCCTCCCTGCCTCGTCTTCGAGGCATGGCGTCCCGTCTTCTTGTCTCTGGCCTCCCCCGGTCCCTCCCTCCCCTTCCTCCGGGGCCTGCCCCCACCTGCGTTCCCTGCGTCGAGGGGCGGCAGCGCGCTGCTCCTCACTCCTCCGAGTTTCCTCCGACAGAGGCTCCGCTGCAGACGCTTCACATGGACGTGTGGGGCCCAGCCCGCGTCCGTGGGCAGGGTCACGAGCGTTACTTCCTGCTGGTGGTTGACGACTACTCGCGTTACACCGCAGTCTTCCCCTTGCGCAGCAAGGGTGAGGTCACTGAGGTGTTGATCGCCTGGATCCGCGCAGCTCGTCTCCAGCTCCGGGAGAGTTTCGGCTCGGACTTTCCTGTTCTGCGTCTGCACTCCGACAGAGGCGGAGAGTTCTCCTCTGACCTTCTGCGGGCCTTCTGTCGTGCACGAGGCATCCGCCAGACCTTCACGCTTCCGGACTCCCCGCAGCAGAATGGGATTGCTGAGCGCCGCATTGGCATGATCATGGACGTCGCTCGTACCTCTATGATCCATGCGGCTGCTCCCCATTTTCTGTGGCCGTTTGCGGTTCGGTACGCGGCGCATCAGATCAACCTTCACCCCCGGGTCTCCATGCCGGAGACCTCCCCTGCTTTGCTGTGGACGGGGAAGGCTGGCGATGCGTCTGCGTTCCGGGTCTGGGGATCTAGGGCGTTTGTCCGCGACTTGTCTGCGGACAAGCTGTCCTCTCGTGCTGTTCCCTGCGTCTTCCTTGGCTTCCCTCCTGACGCGCCTGGCTGGCAGTTCTACCACCCCACCTCGCGCCGTGTTCTGTCCTCCCAGGACGTCACCTTTGACGAGTCGGTTCCCTACTACCGTCTCTTCCCCTACCGCACTGCGTCCCTCCCTCCCCCGCCGCTCTTCCTTACGCCAGGTCCCCCTCCGGTAGACCCCCTCCCCCCTCAGGGTCCTGCTCCCTCAGGTGTGTCCCAGGTAGATGCAGTCGAGCCTGTCGAGGTAGCTGTTGACTCTGGTGCTGCTGGGGGTGCTGAGCCTGGGGGTGCTGGGTCTGGGGGTGCTGCGACTGGGGGTGCTGAGCTTGGGGGTGCTGCGCCTGGGGGTGCTGAGCCTGGGGGTGCTGCGCCTGGGGGTGCTGAGCCTGGGGGTGCTGAGCCTGGGGGTGCTGCGCCTGGGGGTGCTGAGCCTGGGGGTGCTGTGTCTCGGAGTGCGGAGCCTGAGGGTGCTGGGCCTGCTCGTGTGGCGTCTGGTGGTGCTAGGCCTGGCGGTTCTTCGGGTGCTTCGTCCCGGCGGGAGCTGCTCTCTCCACAGGAGCTGCGTGAGTGGTTCGCCCGGCGCTGGCGGCGTGCTGCTGGAGCTGGTGGTGCTGCGGACGCTGGAGGTTCTCCTACTGCTGCAGGTGCTGGTGCCGAGGGTCCCAGAGGTGCTCGTACCGAGTGTACTGGAGCTGCTGGGCCTACGGGTGCTCCTCCTGCTGGAGCTGGTGGTGCCACTGGTGCTACTGGCGTTGGTGCAGCTGGTGCTCCTAGAGTTGGAGCTGCTGCGTCTTCGGGTGGTCCGACTGGAGCTGGGGCTACTGGGGGTGTTGGC